ATTCACATCATCCTCGCACCGAAATACCAGATCTCCTGATAACCTGCAAAATATGATACATTTTCTGTCACTTGACTTGTTGTTCGGGTTTAATTTATCTGTAGGTAGCCAACACATCTTCAAAGACATCGGTCTATTGCCAAACATTGACAATCATTCGCGTAAGCTGACTCAACTTTAAAAATGATGTAAGCATGTTGCAAATAAAAGTACTGGGAAATTCAGTAATCCGGGTACCGAACATCGATCCATTTGAAACTTACGAACTCAAATCAACAGTACAAATAAACGCCAGTTGAGGTACGAAAATTTATTCGCAATTTACAAACAGTCGATCTAAATGTCATTCTAACAATAATTACAACAATTATAGAAGCAAACCTTCAATTTTGTATGTTCCGAAGCAAAACTCTAAACCACCACACCAAAGACAAAGACAAACCAAAATGTACAAAAAAATTGAACTAAAAAAACAAGTTCAGAAGTTGAGTAAGACAAATAAATCCAAGAAACATAGTAAACTTAATAATACACAATATAGAGGTTTTAATCAGTCAAATGTCTTCAGTTCTACCATAACAGTAGAATCCATCAGAAATATCGATTGGTCACTCGTTTCAGACAAATGTCATGCTGAATCAACAGTATTGACGAATTACATCAAACTGGTCAGGAAGACGATTGCTCAAATTATTTGAATTCAATGTGCAGATTGCGGAAATTATTATTGAACGTGATGATTCACTGTGTAGATTGTATTGAATCAAGTTGATGGAATGAACCGCTTATGTCACTCAATTCGTCTTGACATTGGTTAAGTTTCCGACATCAAATACAATGAACATATTCATTTATGAGATCAGTACTGAGGGTATGAAATTCCAGCTAAAATAATTTCCGAAACCATAAGCCAAACTTTTAATAAGTCGATTGCATCAGGGTTCCTGTCATCCTTTGTAAAAAATGCGTTTTGAAGACATACATCGAAATTCACTGCTTAAATCACGATATTGTTCGAATAAAGGATATGTTTGAACCGTCTGTTCAACTCACTACTTGATGTGAACTACAATCGTGTTCAACGCGACAAATGAAATCCGATATTCATTCAATGACATTGCGTCCTGTGTGCTACTAAAATTCTTCAAATGCACTCTTACTATGTTTAATATCATAAGGCATTCAGACTGTCATCGAGGTGATTTGTTACAGTCACAGAAACTAATACAATTGGACGGTATCATGTTTCTAGAGAAAAACGACTGACAAACTCATTTGCAATTTGAGCGCAAACCGATATAGTGTACACTCGTCAATGACGCAAGACGTCCAATGAGTTGACGGACAAACTATTTGTTTCCATATGATTCTGTTCTTAGTAAAGTAGTATTATTTATTTATAAAATGCACATTTCATTCACCTCCGTTCTTTGTGCGTAGGTGACCTCCAGTCGGGTAAACATATCATTGAATAGGTACGATGATTATTCTAACTGAGATACATAATTGGTTCAAAAAACATTAGAGGATATCATATAAATGAGCGAATGGACAGAATCTATATTCAGTGTGGGACAACGGGTCTCATTGGACAAGTATCTGCATATCACAGTTTCAGTAAATATACTCTATTATTATCATTATTATCACTTTTAGAAAATTATTTCTTATGTGAAAAACACATTGGATTTACAGAAGTCAAGTAAATGTGATACTTTTTGTAATATTCAAACGGATAATCGTGACTGAATCGTCAATCCACAGTGCTCATCCTAAACTATTCTATGAGGAATAAACTAGCACATATTGTATTCAGGTCAAACGAATACAATTTATCCAGACTAATACATACGGGTCGCAAAGGGATTAATATGTAAATGGACGTGTGATTATTCACATTATCAAGTTTCAAATTATTTTCAGTGGAGATGCTTCGAAATCTAATCCTCAGTACAGTTCGACGAAGTTTGTTCAGCATATAATCAGATGTGTGTTTAGTGCATGTTCATCTGGCCATTGATTCAACTCGTTATCTTCACTCGTTAGAATTAGAATTCTGATCATTCAATATTTGTGAATTATTGTCACAATATAAGTTATTGACGAATTGATGATCGGTGTCTGTGAATTGAGTATATTTAACGTGATACGTTATTTCATTTTGTTAATAATGATCATCGATTGTTCGCTGTGTTACTTGATTTCACTTTGTCTATTCTATTTCTTAGGCTTAAAATAGAATATAAGTATAGATCGGTCATATAATGTCGAATTCTTATCAACAACAAAAACGCACTTTTAGTAACATTGATTTTATACACTAGTGATACCATTCCACTCTCTGCACAAGTGCACAACTAATTTGAATGTAATGACCACTGAAATTACCATTAAGACGATCCTCTTTGTAATCATTGAACCTAGACATTCTCATAAAACAGGCTGACTATTTATGCGAAACGCATTATGAATGGTCTGTTATACAACCTTAGGAATACACATTACCTCATAATTGTGATCTTATATGAAAAGAGTACTTAATTTACGGTCTTTTCCAAAAAATCGGCGAAGAGATATATGCGCAAACGTATTGAAGCAGTAATTTTGAACAACATCATGTAATCTATTCACAGATCACTTTCAAGTAGTTGGTTTTACAAATAATTAATGCCAACAAAAAGTGAACAAAGTGCAACAATGTGATGTCAGACGACCGTAAAATGAACAACCAAATGCAATTCATAAGGAATATTATTTTTGTATTTTCGTTATACTTGTAATAACAAACACCTCGCGTAGATCGTTTGGAGTCACTACCGATTTCACGCCCGAGCAAATGAGGAGGGACAAACAAGTGACAATTCAAAAACGCCTCCGCCATTTACATGACATATAGTGAGGAATTGTTCAGAGAAATGAAGTATGGGTAAAACGTTGGGTAGTGATCTGATCTTGTTGTATATTACGCCAAAACGAAATACTTTACTCAAAATGGGAGTAAGACCAATTTATACACATTTTTTCAGTCACACTGTCATTGCTACTAATCAATTGACCTCAAAATTTCTAGTCACATTATTATTGACTACACGGTTTTTATTCAATTCTTTCAAAATGCTTCTCATGCGCATCATTCGTTTGATCATTTCAATGTTTACAACTTGACACCTCACACAGAATCACTTCAAATTCTTATGAATATCCTTTCAAGTTCGCTAATGAAGAACAGTGTCCACCACAACATCATTTATTTCTAACCAATATATACAAACATTTCTGGTGAGTTCAGTTTCCATGGAAGTAAGCGCACAGAAGACGCTTTGAAATTGATGAATTTGAGCTGATCCAACGTGCGATTACACCGACATAACTGCGAAAAAAGTAGTAGTGGAACACTGTCGGTGGGTATAATCTATCCTATTGATACACAAAACAAAACTACAGTAGCTCATTTCAACGAGAATATAGGTCAATGAGTATTTTGACAAGTCATAAACATTGACCGTATCACACTGTCCTTGAATCAGTAATTTGAAGAGTATAACCAAACTAAACATAAGCAGATCTAGGTGGAAGTCATGCATCACAAACTTTCTATTCGTTCCTAGCGCAAATTTCACAGACGCACTAGCACACACACTCATATTCATATGGCATAATCGGACTCAATTTGAATTGGATTGATTAAAGTTTTCCGCCTTGTTCCTCAGTAAATTTCAGGATAATGACCTCTGTAGTATGACGTTGAGAGGATGGAATAGAAGAAGAACCTGAACAGAGAGTATTGAAGCTAATGATAATATTGAAAAAATACAAACGAAGTTCACTTATTCGTCGAAAAATAGAATGAAGACTTTTCATAGAGGAGCCACATCGAATAAGCACACACAGGCCTCCACACAGATGTCATTTCACCAAAGATCGAATAATTCAGGATATCAATCAGAAAATAAAATCTGGCTATGAACCATTCTATACAGTTGACAGATGCTTTTCATGTAAGGACCGGAGTCACACAAGGCTGTCTTCTATCCGCTTTCCTCTTTATATTGATGATCGACTAGATTATGACGACTTCGACATTTGAGGGAAAATACGGGATGTAACAGACAGCTGAGAATCAAGTAGACGATTTGGACCTTGCAGATGACTTCATCCTCTTATCTTGAACGCACGAACAAATGCAGACAAAGTCAACTGGTTTAGCAACAGCCAATCAGTGGGCATCAACATACAAAAAAGGAAACCGAATTTCTCAAATTCAACACATGGAACGCCAACACAATCACACTATATGGCAAAACGCTTGAAGATGCAGAATCCTTCACGTACCTGGGAAGTATCATCGATGAACAAGGATGATCAGATGCAGACTTGAAAGTAAGGAGCGAGGGCGGCATTCCTTCAATTGAAGAGCATATGAAACCCGAAACAACTGTGAACCAATATCAAAGTCAGAATACAAACGTCAAAACAGTTCCACTGTACGGAGCTGAAACACAGAGGACTGCTGCAACCGTACTCGAGAAGGTACAAGTACTTATGAATAGTTGTTAAAAAAAGATACTCAAAGTCTATTTGCCGGATATCATTAGCAACACCTGATGTGGGAGAGAACAAACAAGCTTCCAGATTGTTAGCAAATTAGGAATAGGACGTGTGTTGGTTTCTCGGCTTTTTAATGACTGAGCTTTGAATAGAACTGTTAACTTTATACTCTCTGGGTTAACAACTTATCACTATAGTTATCTGAAGTTGTCTTCATAAGATCGAGTTAACAATAGTTTGTCACTTGGTAGTTACTGAACAGCGATTACACAAGTAACGAATGATGGGAGTACATATTATATGCTGATAAAATGTTGCGACGGAATACATTTAAACAGTGTTCGTCGGTGATGAGAAGGCATCAATTTGGATATTCCCAGCGGACTCGTTGTTGATTGCAGCTATCACAACACAACGTATGCACAATTTTACCAAATTCAAAACAAAATTTTGTGAAACTCCGGTGAAAATTCGCGGTTTATATTTTATGAAAACCAGCAGGCAAACATTACATACCATGCTTGATATTTTGTCAACAAGATAACATCACTTAGCACGTAAGCAAAAATAGGGATATACATAGTCACATAATGAAATTGTCAAACACATTAAAATGAATAATTAAATAATAGATTTTCTATTGAAATAAGGAAAATAAACAGTCGTTCAGAATAATAAAAAAGGGTTATTAAGCGTTTCTGAGACTCATTTCAAGTCGTTACTGAGAACCATTCATTGATTTTCTTCTTTTATACAACCATCTCCCCAAAATACAACCGATGCATAAAACAAAGGAGGTGATGATCAAAGTTATCAAGACATATAAGCACTGAAGTGTTTCGTTCTGTTTACTGTCCTGGATGAAACAAACAGTTGGAATTAGTTGTCAAAACGCAAATACTCACCGAATATTGATCAGTCCGTTCAGTAGTTTCCATGAGGTTCTCGACCGGTTTGAAAGTACTAACCTCAACGTGACTATCATTCACTTTCAAGCTCTGAGCATCCTTATCAGTAATAACCATGCACGTGTTTGTTCTTTCACACCAAATACAGGTTGTAGTCAATGTTGACGCGTTGTTGCATGCCTCACTCGAATTGTATTTTGGACAATAGGCTGTGAAAAGAATAATGCGATTTCATTTCAGGTTATCGAATACAAGGTAAGTTAATAACAAGACATGAAACAAGAAATCAACTGTACAATGGTGATTTGGTAGATCACTGAATATTTCATTTATCGCAAATTCAGTTGTTCTTAGACTGGAGATTCATGTTCAATGACGTTGCCCGATTGGAACAACAAACGGAGGATGTCACTGTTTTCCACTCATCAACGACATTTTTCTTGTAAATTTTTCAGTCGACCTACGATGATGAAATATGTGGAAGTGTGTGGCCTCATTCTTCTCTGTGTGTTGTCAGTTATTGTTCCAGATTATTCGGATCGAACAACATTCTTTGATGATAATAGTAACACTTTTTGGTCACTGGAACATTGAGCGATTCTCTCAGAGTGATATAATCTCCTCTTTCATTTTATCACTATGATTCTAAGTGAATTTCATCTAATCAAACACTTCAATATTAGTTCCAAATAGACTCTCAATCATTTGTAAGATTCAACAATGAATTGACGTATTTATTAACGGTAAGTGTAACGTCCGTTGAGACAGATGAATGTATGTTATTTAATAGTAGAATACAGTTATAAATGAAATTTTCAGTTTGATGAAACAAAAGTGATGTATTCAAGTGTGAAAATAATTATTGCTGAATAAACAAGTTTCAACATACTCCCGATGTATTCAAACTCCACCGACATGCCACTTTTTATCCATTCATCAGGAACAACAAATTCATAATCTTTCATGTGTTGAGTAAAAAAATAAAGAAAACAGACTTACAATTTTACCATGTTTATTTGTTACAGGTTGTTTGCACCATTTGAAAAGCTTTCAAAATAAGAACTTTAAAACAATTCTGATAAACGATACAGCGGTGATGATGTAAAATCTCAAACAGTCACAGTTTAAATCGCTACGATTTTCAAAATCGATCAATTTTCAACCAGTCAGTAAAACATCATATCGACCAATTCTCAAATTATTTCACAAAGATAGCTGTCCGGCATCTTCCAACAACTCTCATTCAAATATGAAATCATTTTTTCATAATGCAAATTACAATAGCCAACACAGTATTTTAAAGGTCAGAGGAGAAATGTGGCTTAAATTGTAATCAGGACGCATGTTTAGCCTTATTTAAGACTTGTCATCTGCACGTATCTGAACATCAATTTTTTATGTTTATTTTGAGACGAGTACTCACCAATTGCGCTTTCAACGACGTACCATAATACACTTGACTACTCATTTTAGACACAATGGCCTGTGGTACGAGACGAATTTTTCGTTTATTTCAGTATTGTTTAACAAATCGCTTCGTTTGATCAACAGGAGTAAAATTGATTTCGATGCCAGCCACCATCCATCTTTGCTTGCAATGTTTCTGAATTAACGCAAACTCAAGATAGTCAGCACATGATGCACATTTATCTGAAGGAGACTGATGAATCGCAGTCCGAGGCACCAATGAGAGGGTTTAAGCAAACATCACAAAAGTGTCAATTATCTTCAATGTTCAAAGACTTTTAGGATGGGAACTTATACGGTTTTGTCTACTTTGTCTACTTACAATTAATGTTCAGGATTGCAACTGATAAGTCGCTTATTGACATATATGCATGCTGTGCATCTTGCCACAATATTAACGAAGTGGACATCAAATCTGAGAAGCAGGTACATTCAGCTGACAAGTCACAAATTCAACGAAACGTGTGTCCTGGATTTCACTGCTAGCCATTATCAAACATTGCTTAACATTTCAGTACTCAGTTGTACCGTCATTCGTAATCTAGTACGCTACTACAATCACAAGACAAGAAGTGTAACCTTTTGAGATGGTGATTGAATGTTGTCAACAGGTAACTGTGGAGTCGGACTTCGTGCTACTTGACACTCGTCAGCAAGGTTTACTTGTAATCTTGGGGGAACTGGTGCTCTCTGACAGATTCGATCTCGTGTCACGTAGCCTCACAGTGGCAGAAGTTACGCCTGAGCAATCGAGCCACGAAACCCGGTTTCAGTGTCTCCTGTTGGACACCTCCAATCACCACCTCACCTGAACATAGTGCACTTACTGTCGAGTCACTTAGACTAGTGGCCACATTGCAAATTGGTCGATAGTAATCGATCTGCACTATGAAGGACTTGGCGCATATGACATTTATCACCACAGAATGATCATTCACTTATGAGTGTGAGCTTTTATTTGACATTGACTACTCAATATTCAGTAACATATAGACAGTGTGTACAACAAAGTGTTGAAAATATTCGTTCGAAAGATTCTCACCTCCTTTACGCTTGTCCACATGGGCGAGTTTCGCTTTCCAATGACTTTTATCAATTTTTGTAGGAATCTGAAAATAAGAATTTGATGTTCATGTCAAGATCTGCCAACATACAACCTCTTATATCAGAACCATTTAAACATTAGAATAACGTATCATCATTCAGATTATCTTAGTCAAAGACATGTTTACACACTAACAGTAAGTATAATGCTAGTCTACATTTCCTTAGAAGAATGCTTCAACTAGTCCGCATATATATTGTGAAACACTACAGTAGTCAAGTTTAGTCAGGTTTGATGAACTGTTTATATTTCATGGATCAATGAAACGTGACTGTGAATAAATGCGAAGATGTTGTAATCAAAATATTCTACAACGATTTCTATGATAGCCGATAGTAAGAAAATGAAATAAATGCTGACAGAATATTACAGTTTCTTCGCAAAGTACTACAACATACATTATCTGGTACTATTCAGAACGAACACGCTAACAATTGGTTGCAATCTTTAACAAGTGCTTGAAGAAAGTGTTTTTGATCACTTCCTATCGTGTTCAATGGAACTTGTTACATTAAACATTATTGATACAAATAAAATAATAGAGTCATCTAAAGTACTTGCAACAACATGATATTTTCATTCAATTCTACAACTCACATTGTCATAATGAAAAGATATCTTCCCGTCTGGATATATCAGACAAGTTACATTGGACGTAACCTCTACAATAAGAAGACTATCGGTACTTACAAATTCAGAAAAAGATAATAAACAAGTTAATGTTAGACGTAAAAACTGTATGTGTCTATCTCTAAAGAAATCAGATTTCAGTAGATATTTACTGTGTTATCTGAAATGTATTCTTCAGTTGAATTTGTCATAGATACATTCGAGTAGACGTCATGTGAACAAAATGAGCAATAATCTTTCAAGAAACAAATGTAATATGTATAGTTTCTGAAGTTGTACTACTGTTGTTCTGTTCTAGAAATGATAAAGACACTCAGGTCAACCAGCAATGAACAAACACAGTGAAATCGATCAAATTTATCAACCAATCGGGAAAATTATGCACAAATATAGGATTAAAAATCGAACCAATGAGAGGCACTACCAGAACATAGAAGTAAACAATAACAAATTTAGGGTCAATACGCACCAGGTGTAAAGAAAAAGCTGCGAAACGCATGAGGAAAAATTCGAACACTTCACTTCTACCTGAAGTTTGTGTTGATGATGTCGTTCAGAAGAACGATGAAAGCTCCACGACAAAACCATCGAGCTCAGAGAATGAAACTCCATCAAAAACATCAAGTCACCGAGTTCATCAATAAAATTAGATCGTCGAAGATATATTCACTTGTACACAATGTTTTCTGTAACGTGTTTTTAAACAATCGACTCTAATTACAAATGGGATTAGTTATGGAGTGTTTGTTTACAAATTGATCTCACTAGAGAAATTATACTACGACTTCATTCATTTATGTTGACCAATATACCGCTCATCACATCTGCTCTTCCTCAATTCATTTCAAATGTTCTTCAAGTCTTAATCAACAACGTCAAACAGTGAGTAGATATCAAATATATTTTTATTCTTAATTCTCAGTAAAGTTGAAAAATACTTCATTCTTTGTCTGTTTTGTAGACTTAAGTCTCATATACTGTGACCAATCCAAGTGGGTAAACATAAAATGGTGTGGATTTCATATGTAACCAAACAATCGTTCAATGGTCACTTACGTGTACCATCCTTTTCTTCACTTTTGACAGACCACTTAGCAGCAAGTAATTCCTCTGAAACAATGAAATTAAAAACGAAAACGTTTAGATTTCTGAATAGTGAACAAATATATATCTCTCACTAAATGTACGTTTTGACACGGACCACCATCACACACAGGTTATCATCTGCACTCCGAGGTTTAAATGAACTAATACACTTAAATGCCTATTCATCTCATTTGAAAAAAGTTCAAGGATGCGATTCATTTCGACGACGCAAAGAAAGTCACAATCGAATCAACGGTGAAGAATATTTCGCTTCTGTCACATTTGTTCTATGAGCTTTATCATGGGTAAGAGACATTTAATTTTTCACAGACATAGTGCGTACAAAATCTTTTATTGAGATTCAGTCGATCATTATTTCTTATAATTGACCAAAACAACGATATAAACTTGATATTCTGTGTGTTATATTTTGGGTAAAGCATTCTGTAACACTAGACAGTTCATGGTCGTTCAGTCACGAAGTGACTGGGTCCTATGTTCGTAGCATACAAATATGATTAAAAAGATAGTGTTTAATATTCAATGGACAGCTGACAGAAACTCAGAGACATTAAACTTTCGTCAATCAAGTAAGTGCTAGAAAAGTATTGGATTAGATCAAATATGCTTTGGTAGTTCATAAAGTCTAACAATCAAAACACACTACTCTCACAACATTGCTTATTGTTGCGCATATGATCTGTTAGATCCATTTAGTCTAAATGTACGTTGTGACACGGAGTACCATGACAAGAATGTTAACATCTTCATTCTGAGATTTAAATGAACCGATAAACTTCAATGCATAATCATCTCATTCGAAGAAATTTCAAGGATTCAATTCATTTCGACGATGCAAAGATGGTTTCAATGAAATTGATGAAGAAGATTTTTTCGCTCCCATCATATTTGTTCCAGGACCTTTATCATGGGTAAGAGACATTTAATTTCTAACAGACACAACGCATGCAAAATCTTTTTGTTGAGATTCTGTTGATCATCATTACTTATAACTGACCAAAACAACGATATAAACTTGATATTCTATGTGTTCATATTAGTTCGTTCACAAAGTGCCTGAGTTCGATGTTCGTAACCATATAAATATGATTACAAAGATAGTGTTTAATATTCAATGGTCGGCTGACAGAAACTCAGAGACATTAAACTTCCGTCAATCAAGTAAGTGCTAGAAAAGTATTGGATTAGATCAAATATGCTTTGGTAGTTTATAGAGTCTAACAATCAAAACTCACTACTCTCACAACATTGCTTATTGTTGCGCATATGATCTGTTAGATCCATTTAGTCTATGAGGAACTAGTGTGTTAGTGAAAAATCTTTTACATTTTAGTATTTATAGACCACAGAGTAGGTAATTTTCTTTTCAACAATAACATTAACTGATTTATCATTTAAAATCAGTCAATAACTGGGTAAATCTCTGTTTTATCAAACGTTTTCATTAAAACATGTCGGACACAAATGTTGTGATACGACAACCATATATATTGAACAATCACTGTGTAATGGTTAAGTTACGTTTATCAATCAAGTAACACACTGAATCATTTACGCAAAATGAATATGAGAAAAAGAAGGGATACAAAATATAACTGAATAATGCAAGAACTCACTGCTATTCAAAACCTCATATTCAGCATTGTAATCCAATGAACGGTGACCCATAATCAATCCGAAGTATATTTCTTTGAATACACTTATTATACCTTTGTTGAAAACGTGAATAAAAACATTTAGAAATGAACTGGACACCATAATGAATTGCATAAACTGTATATCGTTTGTTGTAAAGCCTAATATTAACTTTCATTTGTGGAATGAAATGTGAAGAAAGTAACAGTAAAAGTCTAAATTCAGAAAACATTTTTGACGTACCAGTAGAGTAAAAATCAAATCTTTTGACTTCAGTATCAAAATAGTTGAACGGGAATTCCGGTGTGAAACTCTAGAATGATGCAATCATATGGATAGGCACTTTCGCTAATAAATGTAGTCAACTCACTTGAGTACCAGTGAATTTGTTGAAACTGCCATTCACAACCGGATGTGAGTGATTAAGACTAATTTTCTGTAAATAACCAAATCGAAAAGACTGAGTATGCGTATTATAAACTGACTGATTACATACATATCGATGTGAACCATTTTGATGAATTACGAACTCTTCTTCCAGTGGAACTATTTCTTCACTAATATTTTGACATTCGAAGAATTTGTTAAGCAACACGAAGATCAAGTAAATTGTTATTGACAGATTAAATGAAAATGTGCATCTAAAATGATTCAGATGAACAAGACAACGGTATCTCATTGAATTGAATTTAAATGCTTATGATAAAATCAGTGGTTGCTTATGGCATTTCAACACTTACTTCATCTTCCTTTTCAAAGTGGTAAATCAAATTTTAAAAGAACTTCCCAGGTTAATATAGACTTTTTCAGTGTCTTGTTGTTTCGTTCTGATTCGATGTTTTAAAGTGACCATTGAGAAGATCAATTTTGATAAGACCAGTAGTTCATTGATAACCAATCATGGTGGTAGATGAACTCATCGCTAATCAATATTCTTCTAGAAATTGAAAATATGAACTAAAATTTATGCACGATTGGTTTAAATTCTTGACCCCTATTGATGAAACGTTTCTTGAATGTGAGTCAGCATGTTTAAGAAGAAGTGGTTGGTTAACTTGTAGTTCAAAATGTATGCTGATGTGTTCATGAACAAATATGTTGTTGCATTGACAGCTGTCAATCAGCTATCAATGTGGCATTGTTTTGATTTGATTGGTTAAAATAAAAATATCACACACTGTTTTGATTGGATATTAAAGTTTATTCTGTCACATGATTTCATCATCGTGTATTTTGAAATTCCAACCACTGATCAAAGATTTAGCTATTCTGTACATATCAAAAAAGAAACAAATACGTTTTTATTAATCACGTAAAAACTGAACTGAATATACTGCATGATGTAGGTTGAAGTTGTCAAGGATTGTAATAAAAGAATGACGTAGAGTTGTAAAAACAACAGCGATAACTGTACCACTAGTGTCATAATATTTTTCAATACTTAAGGCGAAGACTGATTTCCACGTCTATGTTAAAACACATGAATAAAGCAATATGATGAGACAATGTATAATGTACACTGTATTCACGCCAGTTATTTAAGGTTCGCCAATGAATAAACGTCGACACGTTAGTAAATGAACAGTACATACAATGAAATATTTCAGGAACGATTTTTTGGTTGATAAAATGTAGAGGGGTGTTGTTTAGCTTGACAAAATCACCATGAATAGAACGGTAGTGGGTCACAGATTGTACAGAATCATAAAATATGGAGGAATGTTATCCAGCTATCTGGCATTCATTAGAAACATGTTAAAATGACAATAGTTCATTGAGAAGTGTTGATTGCATGTTTCGTAACAATGATGGGATAAATAGTGCACTTTACAAATGATCACTACTACATTCCTGGAAACAAACTGAAATTAAAACAAGTAGTTTGCGTGTCAATGTATAGAAGTTCTTGCTTCAGTTATTAATAAAAATGTCTTTTGCTATCAAGTAAGCCAAGAACATTTGAAGTAATTGGTCAACACGCAGAACCTAGTGTGGTTGAAATAATATCAGGTTTTGGTTGTCATATTATAAAAATACTGTGTTCTCAGGAATTCTGTTATTGACAAACTCAAATTCATAAGTTTTGAAGTTCTACATGTAGATGAGTTATGAAGCCTTTTGGGGAAATTTGCGTTTCTTCAGAAGTCAACAGAACGATGCCGCGTCTAATAACCGAAGCAAAGCCTCGTGAATCTCACTGGATCACGCGAAATGGAAGCAGATAGTTCATTTGTGCAACAATAAAGGATTTCGAAGGACAATGGATGATGTGGGAGCCATGAGAAGAGCTGACATAGCTTCAGAGATCACCTGAAGGTAGTCAAGATAAAACTGAAGCTAAAGAAACAACGGACAACTGGAGACACAGAATTACAAAACTTCAACACAGCCTTCCTTCGAGATTCCAACAAACTCAACGAAATGAAGATAGCTCTTAACAAGAAGTCTCAAGCCTTACAGAATCGACTGAAGGAAGAAGAATCTACCATGAAGTTTAACTGGAAATGGATCGAATATCCATCAAGTTCAACGTGTCAGGAGGCTCCACGCCGCAAGAAGTATCATCATGAGGTAGGAATATTCACAGAATCACTGAACAAGATAAAAGAACGAAGAACAAAAAGACAGCAATTGAAAACAGCCGAATAATAGCAGAGAATGTCGAAACACAAGCTGCGTATAGAGAGGCAGACAAGTATGTGAGGAAAAGCACTAAAGTCACAATTGATTGATCACTGGGTGGCCACCAGTCTAGGTGACTCGACACTGCGGGCACTATGTATGAGATGTAATCACAATTGATTGATCACTACAGGAGGTTAGTCACGGCTCGGATAGCTCAGTGGTAACGTCTCTGACTGTGAAGCTGGGTGACACGAGATCGAATCCGCCAGGGAGCACCAGTTCCCTCAAGATTACAGGTACACCTTGCTGACGAGTGCCAAGTAGCACGAAACCCGGGTCTAGGGTTTCCTGTTGACTACCTCCAACCACCATCTAAAGAGCACTAAAGTTGACAAAACGAATAACATGGAAGAACAAGCAACAACGGCAGGACAGCTGCAGAAGAAAATAATGAAGCAACTTTATGGTACAACGAACAAATACAGATGTAGACAACCAGTGTAGCAGCAGCTTCCAGTTGAAGAGCAAATTAGGTGAAGACTATTGAAAGGGATAGAATATACGTTACGAACATCACCAAACTACATCACGAGATAAGCTCTATCCTGTAATCTTGAATGGAAGAGAAATGGAGAAAGGTCAAAATGAATACATCTCATCGGCAAATAGAAGCAGATATGAAATGAATGAATATCAACTGCAAATAGCTAGAAAGAATTGTCCAGGACATGGTTGGATAGAACGTGCTGGTGTGTGGAAACAATTACAATCAACATAAAATGGTAGTTTGTGTATTTAGTGTATCGAGAGCGTTTCAGTTCACTTCTTTCTGATGATCAATTGGATTTTAAAGACCATCAAAACTCGTTTCAGGCACAGAATGCAATATTCGAGTTACGCCTGATTGTGTGGTCAGAAACTATCTGCAACGACCTATTATAGGATTCTTCAAACTAGATAGAGAGCCAGCACTCACATCAGAAATCATCATGAGGTGAGAAAAGGGGGCAGACCGAAGAACACGAAGCTCTGAAAAAAGAAGTCAAACACCGGACAAGTGAACAAATGAATGAATGAATATCACTTGGCGACAGCTGAAAATAAAAGTCGAGTTCAGACGTGGTTCAAGACAGTGGGTCAATATTTAATATTCCACGAAGGGTAACAATGTGCACATAAATATATAACTGTGTAACGACAACTACAAATAAGTCTTCATCACAAGACTGAAGCTCAGATGAGTACAACGAATATCTTATTGCATTCACTGACACTCGCACATCTAAACGAGATTTGCGAGTCATCTAGCAATTTGTTTATAACATATAGCATACAAATACTAAATCATTCGAAATTGTTTCTCGCTCCTTCCATAATCATAGCTTACTTAATTGGTCTTCATGTATTAGGTTACTTGCCACATTAAAGTATAATAATTTGCATGTTTGGCTTTGCAAATAATTGATCCCATCGATTCCGTGTAGTAAGCAGCTGAAGATGCATCACGAAATTAAAATTAATCCGTGCCACTCTGCCTGACCGATTCTTCTCGCTCCATTTAATCTCGAGTGCTGATCCAAATTTCAGTTGACTGACATACCCGAGATCAGTTTGCTTGCATGTTGACATTTGGCTCGCTTTTCTAATGATATACAGTTGTTTGTGATAAAATTTAGAAGTGTTGTTTAAATTGACGAAGTCACCATGAATATAACGGTAGTGGGTCACAGATTGTACAGAATCATAAAATATGGAGGAATGTTATCCAGCTATCTGGCATTTATTAGGAACATGTTAAAATGACAATAGTTCATTGAGAAGTGTTGATTGCATATTTCATAACAATGATGGAATAAATGGTTCAATGAAACCAACTCATTATTCAAAGTCATCGGTTTACTTTCTGCCGCAAATCAAGGTTGATCAGGCATGAAATTTGACGGAAATGAGTGATCATTCCATATTTCTGATGGATTCTACCACAAACTTCATCAGTCAAAAATCCATAGAAATCAACTTTCTTTGAGATTTTTCCATTAGACTGGTCTCGTATACAAACTCATGTGGCACCTTGTTTCCTGCAAACTTTTATCAACTTACATATCCGTAAACAACATAAGTTGAGTCAGCTATGTGAATCAAATCGAGTCGAATTTCTTGTCTATGATTGTTATGTGTAAACTTGAAGCATCCAGCTCAGATAATCGCAGAAAACATTCACACCAACGACATGCTGATTATTGAATTTTCCACGGATATGCGAACCAATGGATAACTTAATTCTTCAACGCGTATTCAAGTTAGGTCACACACAACTTGCAAGTGACCGTTCGAAATCTCTGAAAAACTAAAATCAACCGGCTCAAAATTGGTTGTGATGAGACGTTTGTGCACTGCTGAAGCTAGAATGACTCACGAGTTCACATAGAAATCCTGTGTACACAAGTGTTACGTCCTACACTTCATTCTTTAGTTGTCTTGGCACACTATAAACTTTTACTGATTAAAATAGTCTATTATTACAATTTATATACATAGTTTCCTTTATCATTTTGAAAAGAGCAAAAACAAAGGTTCTAGCAGAGTAGCATGAATTCATTTAATTTCGAAGGTTAGCGTCAGCTGCTAACAATTATAATGGGTTTACATTGCTTACTGAATATTGTAAATATATACCTAATGTGAAAGAATATTCTTCAACAATAATTGTAACAACAGTTCAAAAGTAGGTTAGAAACGATCGATTACATAATGAATAAACATTGATAGGAATATAGTGAGTAGAGTTCAGTTGAAATATTATCCATTTGAAAGATAGTTGAATAAAATCAATGATGTAATAAATGCAAAAGAAAAAAGAAAAACAATTTTTTTTGTAAGGTGCAGTGAAGGAATATTTGTCACCAGGGCAAGGAAAAATTAACCACCGTCTCCTTTTGAATACATAGTTTTGGCTTTTGACACCTGATGGCCATGGCTTCAGCAAACTTCAGAAGACTGGAGTTTGGCTGCTTACCAATCACCCCAAAGACTGTAAGGTTTCTACCTGTGTCAGAGAGATGTTTGGTGATTGCACTGTTCAGAGTTGATCATCATCCTGACAAATTATGTCAATAGTTTCAAAAAGTGGTATATTGGTGAACAAGGATGTTACATCAAAGAGACCATGAAGTTGTCGGTAAGATCCGTATGATTTAATCTGTCAGCAATATTTACAATATTCAGTAAGCAATTTAAACCCATTATGTATTAATGATTTTTAAATATTAAAATTTACCTATTCTTGTCCATTAGTTGCACAGTTATGTGTATCTTTTTTTCATATACATTAATTATTTTCAAGGATTTCATGAACGCTGACATTACAAAGCCAGTTGCTGTCTATCCCACAATTTGGATGATATTTTGCAAATAGGTTT